CCGCGGCGACGGCCTGAGGGTTAGGAGCGCGGATGGGAGGGAGCGCTAGAGGTGGGGAGGGGCCCCTCGGAAGGCCAGGGTGGGCTCCTGCTGGCTCCTATCACACAGCGCACGAAGCCTGTCCCACGCCGCCCGACGGCACCGGCCCTGCGGGGCTCTCCGTACACCGGGCGGTTAGCCGCCCACTGGACCGCGGCGACGGCCTGAGGGTTAGGAGCGCGGATGGGAGGGAGCGCTAGAGGTGGGGAGGGGCCCCTCGGAAGGCCAGGGTGGGCTCCTGCTGGCTCCTATCACACAGCGCACGAAGCCTGTCTCACGCCGCCCGACGGCACCGGCCCTGCGGGGGTCTCCGCACACCGGGCGGTTAGCCGCCCACTGGGTGTGTCTTGGATCGAAGTCACATAGACTAGATTTGGGGCCTCCCTGTAAAGTGGGGGCACCAGCAATAAACGTGTTTGTGAGGGTTAAGTGACCCAATAATGAAAAATCATTAAGGTCATAAGAGCTTTAGCTGTGGCCACGTTTATTTTCTTGCTTTTCTGTTGTGCTGAAAGATGGAAAAGGCTGGTGCGGGCGCCTCCTCCTCCCCTCCCCCCGCCATTTCCTTGTAGAGACGGCTGTTGGCTGTTGACGATTCAGTTTACTGTGGTTGGGGAATCTCTGTACCTCCTCGCTAGGATGCCCTCCAGCCCTCCCCGGAGGGAGCCTCCTGCAGGAGTTTTCACTGCCCTTTCCTGCCCTTTCTCCACGGCCAGCCCACCGAGTTCCTCCAGGCCCTGCGCAGGGATGGAGAGAGCAGCGTTCAGATCGAGATGGCCCACGGCACCACCACCCTGGCCTTCAAGTTCCAGCACGGAGTGATCGTGGCAGTGGATTCTCGGGCCACGGCTGGGAGTTACATCGGTGAGTGGCCCTTCCCGGAGGCCAGCTCCCGGGCCCTGCGCCCTCTTCCCAGCAGGGCCCAGCCTCTGCACCCAGCGGAGGCTGGTATTGACTTAGGACACACAGGGAGAGCTGTGGGCTCATTCCTCTTCTCTCAAAACCCCGTCTTCTTCCAGCCACCTTAAAGTTGAACAAGGTGATTGAGATCAACCCGTACCTGCTTGGCACCATGTCCGGCTGTGCGGCGGACTGTCAGTACTGGGAGCGGCTGCTGGCCAAGGAGTGCAGGTAGGCGGCCTCTCGTCTGCCTCCATTCTGGACCCTGGGCCTGCAGATCACTGCTCCTCACCCTTCCCCCTGCTGGCATGACATCCTAGTGCCCATGCATTTCACAAATCTCACTTTGTGTTCCTGTCAATCACCCAGATAATTTGTCAATTTTTTTTAGCACTGACACCATCAATCCTGGTGGGATAGTATCATCACTAGTATTTGTAAAATGTGGCTTAGATACTTTAAATTTCAAATCTCTTCCTGATCCGTAGGTCCCACAAAACCTTTCCCTTCAAACGCTTACCTTTTCAATCACTGCCTGCCCAGCAGGTGGGCTGCTGGAGAGCTGGCCTCCTGCCCTCTAAGCTCTCTCCCCCCACGCCCTGTCCTCACCAGACTGTACTACCTGCGGAATGGGGAGCGCATCTCAGTGTCAGCAGCCTCCAAACTGCTCTCCAACATGATGTGCCAGTACCGGGGCATGGGCCTCTCCATGGGCAGCATGATCTGCGGCTGGGACAAGAAGGTGGGTGCGCTCATCCTCCCTGTGCCCCCACTGGTGACAAGAGATCGGCCCTCCGTTGTACCTCCCACTGCCTCCCCTACAAGATACGTGGCACCTAGAGTCCTCGGTTACAGGCCTGTCGCTGCGTATCCACGACCATCTCTGGGTCCAGGTGGAACCATTGTTTCATAAGCCTTTTGATAGAAGAGCTGATGTCAAGTTTGTCCCCCCCCCCCTCTCAAAGTTCTATGATTGTTACTTAAATGTTGTCCTGGCTCAAACACACCTGTGGTAAATTCTTATTCTTTTGTTCACTTTTTATGGGTCACATTTGAAACTGCGTGTGACCAACAACTCCCTCTCCGTTTCCAACCCGGACCTTTCTCGCATCCATTAGGGTCCTGGGCTCTACTATGTGGATGAGAATGGGACTCGGCTCTCAGGAAGCATGTTCTCCACTGGCAGTGGGAACTCCTATGCCTACGGGGTCATGGACAGTGGCTACCGGCCTGATCTCAGCCTGGAAGAGGCCTATGACCTGGGCCGCAGGGCTATTGTTCACGCCACGCACCGAGACAGCTATTCTGGAGGCGCTGTCAACAGTAAGCGACCAGTGCTCCCAGCCCTGGGCCGGGAAGGGGGATGGCCATTGGGTGAGGGGGTGAGGGAGAGGCGGATTTCAGAGCCAGGGCACTGAACCAGGGGTTTTCAGAAGAGGGGCACTGGAGTCCAGTGGCAAGGGCGGTGGCGTGTGCTGTTGTCACGGCCTTCACCATAACCATTAACGGGACTTGCCAGAGCGGAGGGGGATCCATGTTCTTTCTCGTTCGCCCACAGTGTACCACATGAAGGAAGACGGCTGGGTCAAAGTGGAAAGTACAGACGTCAGCGACCTGATGCACCAGTACCGGGAGGCCAAGCAGTGACCGAGGCGGCTGGCAGGCCTCCTCTGGGAAAGCCTGGGGCCTGAGGCAGCTTACCCTCCAGGAGAAGGAGGGCCTAACCTGAGCCCAGAGAGAGGGAGCTGGCGGCGGGGTGGGGCAGACTGTCTTTGTGTGTT